TGCCCTTGAGTTGAGTTTGACTCATAGCGACCCTGTGAACAAGAGGCCAGAGCCTGCCGTGTCCTGCAGCCCCCGCACGATCCCCTCCATGCCCCTGCCCATCACCACAGCCATGATAGCCTTAGTGCTGGTGTTGGTTGCCATTGAATCAGAATCAACTCATCACTAACTGATCCTGTAGCAGATTTTCAGAGGCTATAAATCTCACAGGAGCAAACGTCCACATTTCTTCCTCCTCAGAGCCGCTGGTGTGTCTGCACTGACAGAGAGGCGTCACCTTGGGCAGCTGCACCACGCTGTGGGCCACACCAGGGCTCTCGGACTCTTGGACTAGCTGACAGAGTACAACGCTGTCGACAGCTGAACCATTTTTCTCCCATCTTTTCAATTGCATTGAGGAGTTTTAAAATAATCCATCTCTAAGCCATGAAAGTTCAACACATTCCCCAAATTTAAAATGGCATAGACACATTTTTACCACAAAACTTTAAATCTAGAAATAGCCAAAGAATAGCAACAGCTAATGAAACTAACCACCTGTGAATTTAGAAGGTAGTGATTTTTCTCGGAAAGGAGCTTCCTGGGCTGATGGTTCAGGAATTAGCAAAAAAGTGAGCACAGGACCTGACGCCCCAGGGGCCCAGCTGAAGCTCCAGTGGTGGGAAGTCACGGAGAAAACGTCCTTCTCAGGAGCGAGCAGCATTTCAGGTACGCAGCCTTGTTAGCCAAGCGTCCTACTCAGGAATGTGAGGGGAAAGAGATTACACTAAAAGGCTTAAACGAAAAAGCCTGAATAGAAATGACAAGGTAATAAATGAGTAGTAGGTCAGAATGTCTTAGGCAATGCCTGGTACTTTGTAAGAAGAGCAGAGAGAAAACACACAAAAATAAAGTCATAAATACGAAGCCAGGATTATAAATGCAGAGACTTTAAGTTCTCTTGAACACCTATATGTGTACTTTGTGCCTTCCAATGTGAAAATCAAGGAGAAATAAAGACTTTCCAAGATGAAGTGGACCAGGATTTCCAAGTACGTTTGGGTTACTAATGTTGACTCAGAAGTAGAAAGTTGTGTAACTTACAATAGCAGGAACTGGAAAAGCTCCTGAAATATTTACCTTCGTAGATTATAGTAAGCTCCAAGGTTTTAGGAGTATAATGAGGGGTCAAGGTTATTCAAATACCTCACAGTGTGGAAACCAATGCAGTTCTGAATGCAATCTAGAAGCCAGCTTCTCCTGCGAGACTCAGAAAGGAAACAAGACTGACAGGATTGGTGAATGTGGATGTTAAAAGGTAAGAAATCCAGTTTGCTAGAACAGTACACCGCAACCAGGTAGGACTTAGTCCAGGGTGTGAGGGTGGCTGTGCTCAGAAGTGCACCGAATGCAGTGCATGGCTATTCAGAGGGTGGAGGAGAAGTTGTGAAATCATCTCAACAGATTTTGAGTCAAAATCCATTACTAGTTTAAGGGGGGAAGCTGCACTTCTCAGTAAACAAGGACACAAGGAAACAGTCCACGCTCAAGAGGGAGAAGTATCATGATATAACAGTCAAAATAAGCTAAGAAGGAAAAGTTTATACACAGAATTCTGGGATGGTTACCGGAGATACAAAGTGAGAGAGAGGGAAGAAAAAGGTAATGAAAAGATACTAGACAATAAGATGGGTGATTGGAAAGATGACATCCAGTAAGGGAACAACCAGATGTTGTTGTGTTATGTGCCATCGAGTTGCCTGCGACTCATAGCGACCCAATGTACAACAGCCCTAAACCCTGCTCTGTCCTGTGCCAATCTCACGGTCTCCAACACACCTACCCCCATCACCCCAGTCACTGAGTCAATCCACCTCATAGAGGGTCTTCCTCTCCTGCGCTGTCCCTCCACCTTCCCAAGAATGATGTCCCTCTCCAAGGACTGGTCCCTCCTTACAACATGTCCAAAATACGTCAGACGAAGCCTCAGTATCCTTGCCTCCAAGGAGCAGCCTGGTTTAACCCTCTCCAGGATAAACCTGTTTGCTTTCCTAGCAGTCCATGGTATATTCAATACTCTTCTCCAGCAACAGAGCTCGAAGGCATCAATTCTCCTTCTATTCTCCCTAGTCACTGTCCAACTCTCTGATGCATAACAAGTGATTGCAAAGACCATGGCCTCTATCAGATGCACCTTAGTCTCCAGAGTGACACCATTGCTCTTCAGCACTTTGGAGAGGTCCTTAACAGCAGACTTTCCCATTGCAATGTGTCTTTTAATTTCCTGGCTGCTGGTGCCAAGAGTGTTGACTGTGGAGCCAAGCAAACTAAAGCTGTGAACAATCTCAATCTCTTCACCATCCATCCTGATGCTGCCAATTGGTCCAGTGGTGAGAATCTTTGTTTTCTGGATGTTGAGCTTCAATCCATATTGATAGCTGCAGTCCTTGACACTCCGCAGCAAGCACTTCAGGTCCTCCTCAGTTTCAGCAAGCAGGGTTGTATCATTTGCATAACACATTTGCATTTCCACCAGTCCTGATGCCACATTCCTCCTCAGACAGCCCAGCCTCCCAGATAATCTGCTCTGCATACGGGTTGAAAAGGTATGAAGACAGGATACAGCCCTGGTGTACACCCTTCCCAATTTTGAACCATGCAGTGTTTCCTTGCTCTGTTCTGATGATTGCCTCCTGGCCCAAGTATAGGTTTCACATTAGCACGATCAAGTATTCTGGGATTCCCATTCTTAGAGTCATCCACAGTTTGTTGTGGTCCACACAGTCAAATGCCTTTGCATAGTCAATGAAATACAGATAGACATTCCTCTGGTATTCCCTGCTTTCAGCTAAGATCCATCTAACATCAGCTACAATATCCCTAGTACCGTGACCCTTTCCAAACCCAGCCTGCACTTCTGGCAGTTCTCTGTTGATGTGTTGTTCCAGTCATTTTTGGATAATCTTCAGCAGAATTTTGCTTGCATGTGATATCAAGGATATTGTTAGATAATTTCCACACTCTGTAGGGTCACCTTTCTTTGGAATGGGAACCAATATAGATCTCTTCCAGTCAGTTGGCCAAGTGGTTATCCTCCACATTTCTTGGCATGACTTGGTGAACACATCCAGGGCAGCATCTGTTAGTTGAAATATGTCAATTGGTATGCTGTCAATTCCTGGGACCTTATTTTTTGCCAATTTCTTTAAAACAGCTTGAACATCTTCCTTCATCACCATAGGCTCTTGCTCATATGTTGTTTCATGAAATTCTTCTATATCTGTCAATTCCTTTTGGTACAGTGACTCTGTAATACTCTTTCCATCTTCTTTTAATATTTCCCGGATCATTTAATATTCTGTCCAAAAAGCATTCTTAAGTATTGCAACTCGAGGTTTGAATTTGTTCTTCAGTTCCTTGAACTTAAGAAATGCTGAGCGAGTTTGGCCCTTTTGTTTTTCTGACTCCAGCTCCTTGCACATTTCATTGTAATATTTTACTTTGTCTTCCAGCACTGCCTTTTGAAGTCTTCTGTTCAGCTCTTTAATATCTTGAATTCTTCCCTCTGCTTTGGTTTCTCAGCACTCTAGTGCAATATTCAGAATCTCTTCTAACAATTATTTTGGTCTTTTCTTCCTGCTCTGTCTTTGTAATGACCTTTGGTACTATGCCTGGATGATACTCTAAGTATCTTCCCTCCACTCATCTGGTCTTGGCTTCTTGGTATTCAAGGCCTCAAACCTGTTCCTGAGATGGTTCTGAAATTCAGGTGGGATAGATTCAAGGTCCCATTTTTGTTCCCATGGATTTGATTTCATTTTCCTCAGCTTCAGTTTAAACTTGCATATGAGTAGTTGGTGGTCTGTTCCACAATCAGCACCTGGCTTAGTTTTCACAGCTGATATTGAGCTTCTCCAGGATTATTTCCACAGATATAATCATTCTGATTCCTGTGCATACCAAAAGATGAAATTCATGTGTATAACCTGCATTTATATTTCTCATAAAACGTATTTGCTACAAATAAGCTGTTGATTGTGCAGAATTCAATCATTCTATCTCCAGCTTCATTTCTGTCACCGAGTCTATGTTTTTCCACTACTGATCCTTCTTCTCTGTTCCCAGCTTTTGCATTCTGTTATTATTAATGCATCTTGACTGCATTTTCTAGTCGTTTGTAATTAATGTTATAAAACAAAAGATGTATGAAGGACTGAGAGAAAAGCCAACATGTCTTTTAGACTCCTACTAAAATCACACTTTTATGAAAGGTTTTCCAGTAAGCAGAGGCAGTGCACTGTCCTCAGGGATCTCTAAGCAGATGGAGAGAGGAGGCTTCTGCAAGAGCTGCACTGTGGAGCCAGAGCTCTCGCTTCCTGAGTGTGGGAGAAGTGTCTACGTGGCGTTTCTGTTACAGCAGCACCACGTGACTAAGGAGTTCTGGTGGTGTAGTCCCCAGCAGGCAGCCTGCAAGCCCAAGCGCTGTGATTGTGTTGCACCAAGTCCCTGAGGGAGAAAGATGGGCAGTTTTGCTTTACGGCCTAATAAGCCCAATGGAAGGCTGCAATGAGTTAGACCAATTCGACAGGAGGAAGCAACATCGGACAACACTCACCAAATGGTGCACTTCACATCTGGGAGTGAACATCCACAGGAGAGAAATTCTACCCCAAAGAAAGAAATCCAGACAAACGTGGAACTCCAGTGTATCTTGGTGTGTTCCAGTGTTTAATGGTAAAGTGTCCTGATGTCTGCAACTTGTTAGCAATTAGAGGAAGAAATCGGTCGGCAGGTGGAGGAAAGGAGTGATGGCTAACATACGTGACGGAGCAAACAGCAGTGTCCGTTGTGGAAGCTCCTCCTGTTCTCACCAGTTTGTTAGGTGACTGGTGGCAGCCATTCCAGAAGGGGACACCATGGGGAATGGACACAGGTCACCCAATTTTGGCCAATCTCCTATGAAAACAACAGAAGCACTAACATCTACTGCCAGCCTTCCAGTCAGTGTAGACAGGGCAGTCTCATCGGTTCCGGATGGCCTGGTGGTTTTTGGGCACAGCCACATACCGCAGCCTCTTCATGATGGGGGGCCGGCCCAACAACTGCTCGTCCCACATGTACTCAGGAGACAGCACCTTGGTGGGCTTGTGGTACAGCAGGTATTTGTTGAGATGGCTTTCATCATGCCACACGGCCTCAATGTGATTTGCTTGGTCCGCCATCATCGCCTGGTGACAGGCCTTGGTGAGTCTGTGCACCTCCAGCACGGAGCCCCCGAAGAAGCCACCAGCATAGTAGAAGTCCCCCTCATCCCTGGGGATGTAGGCCTGGGACTGGGGCCGGCGCTCGTAGGTGAAGGCCTGGCGCTGGGCGGAATAGAAACCTGGGTGGAGGGTGCCGAACAGGGAGGACAGGATCTCCACACCCACGTGGTCACTGAACTTCATGTCCACGTCGGCGCACACCAGGTAGTCCACCTCGTGGAGGAAGCGCCGCTCGGAGAAGTTGCTGATCATCTCCATACGGTGCATGGAGATGTCCTGCCAGCGGGTGTAGTTCCGGACCTCGAGGACCACCAGCTGCCGGCCTTCCTGGAGGGGGACACTCGGGACATCGGCCAGCCGGTCAGTGAAGATGTAGTAGTTGACCTTGTGTCCCACCATGAAGTGCTGCTCTGCGGTCCGCAGAAAGAGCTCCAGGAAGACCACGTACCTGCGGCCAAGGGAGAGGTGGGAGAGATTGAAAAGTGAACAGAGAATCTACCAGATGCTCCACTGGAGAAGGAGGGGCAATCTCCTCCGGTGTCAGTCAGATCCGATTTGATAGTATACAACAAGGAAAAAAAAGAAAAAAATTATGACCAGAGCAAAAGGACTTTTTAATAAAACTAGCCAGTAGGGAGCTCTGATGGCCTAGTGGTAAGGTGCCGCACTGCCAACCTGAAGGCACGTGGTTTGAATCTGCCTGCCGCTGCACAGGAGAAAGATGAGCAGTCTCCTCCCAGGCCATTTCCTGTCTCCGGAAACCCTCGAGAGGGGCAGCTGTAAGTTAGTTCTGACACAGTGGTACACAGCGACAGTAACAAATGTGCCAGTACCCTTCGACTGAGCCACGCTGATCTTCGTTTTCTAAAAGGAGCAAGGACCATGTGGGGCCAAGCATATCTGACCTCTACCAACTCCACAGTGGGAGCTGCCCGCATCACCATCACTCATGACACAAACCCAGTTCCTCCGAGGTTAGACAGGTCCGCCATCCCAACACTAAACTTACAGCTCTGCTGGGTCTGAAATCTGTTACAGTAGCTGAAAGAGCACACAGACCATACTCATAATTATGGGGTTTATGAGGGAAGTTAACAGGTTACAATCCAAATTGGCAACAGGATACATTTTCTGTCAGGAAAGCTTCTGAAGCATGCTGGCAGGCCCCTCAGCCTTCAGCATTACGGCTTTAGGCCCATGTTTCCAAGCAATATCGGTCCTGACAGCTGTGGGATCCCTCCCATCCCCGTGTTCTCCAGCAAGTTTGAGCCAAGGCTTCTGGTTCTGATTCTGTAGGGTAGCAGTCCCTGGTCACATCTGGCCCCATCGGATCTCTGGTTCTCTGCTGCGGTTGCTGCAGATCTCCTGGTCTGACTGGCACTAGGATCTCTGCCCCCCAAGTGTGCACTGAATTCCTGCTGCTGCTTTGTTAGTGGTGAGATTCTCAAATCATGCAGCTGAATCCAGTTTAATGGTAAGACCAGTCAATCCCCTTATTGATAAGCTAACATACCCATTTGTATATTCCTGCCCATCCACACGGCAAAGTCAAGGTCAAAGGCTAGGAAAGCCGCATGGACCAGTAAGCTCTTGACACCACAGTCTTAAAAAGCCCCATGTGTCACTTGTCCACATACAAGGCTGTCTGACCATGCTCATGCAGGCTTTCCTAGAGATGGTTCAGACTAGAAACCACCATGGTGTCCATGACAAAGGGACAGAGACACAGCCAGCCATGTCCACACAATGGATCCTGCCGAGCAGAAAAACACGCTCTGGTGATGCAAGAAAAATCCTGACGAATCTCAAAACCGCCAAGGTTAAGAGAGAGGAACTAACTTTGGAAAGGGATGCACTTGATGGTTCCAGTGGGTGATACCCACCTCATGGTGGCCAAGTGAAACTCGAGTTTCCTCTAGGGGACTAGGGGCGGGAGGTCTTTCTAGGGGGCAGTGGTGATGCTGAGCGAGGTGACCAACATCCTTGCTACCCAGACCCATGTGTGTGTCACTGTGCAAGTGTGTCATCATGGTGTATGTGTGTGTCACTGTGCA